GTGGTGGTGAGGGTGTTGTGTTGTGAGGAAGGTTGTGGTGTGGTTGTGAGTACACTTATGGACAACATTCTCTGGACACTTTTGGACAATATCCGGCGTCATTTACTTAAGGAACGTTTGTGTGTGTGTGTGTGTGTAATAATAAATAATAATAATAATTAACGGTTTATTGAAAGAGCTTGGCAGCCAGAAGGCTGAAAATATACAGTTACATATTTGGGGAATGGGTTACGAATTACAAATAATATACAAGTGACATAAGTGACACAAATAAGACATATAGTAACTTAGATGGGGATCAGCTCAAAATACAGTTCATTTCAACATAGTGACAGTGTAGGGAGCAGTGTTTACTGGGAGTGAATACACTGATTTATTACATGTTATTGATAATTTTTACAATGGTTGGGACTGGGCTGTTCTTATAGCGATCAGTTCGTGCACGTATGGGCTGGATGCGGTTGTGGTGTCGAACAGCAATTCTCGGACAGGGGATCTCAGGTGGTAGTAGGGGCCGGTGTCGGGGATGGTGTAGAAGCTTCTTACCAAATTTGCAGATGAGGTCGTGGTGATGGTCAGTGAGAGTCGAAAGGGTCAGTGTGTTGAGCGCTTCTTGATATGTGGAGTGTGTGTGTGTGTGTGTGTGTGTGTATTTAAACATTTATATAGTCTGGATTTTATTGTAGTTTAATTGAATGACTTTCGTGTTGTGACGTAATTCATAATCGTTCACGAGAGAGAGAGAGAGAGAGAGAGAGAGAGAGAGAGAGAGAGACTAAGAAAAAAGAGAAAGAAGAAAGAATGAGAAACAGAAAGAGAGAAAGAGATAGACAAGATGATAGAGAAAAGAGAGAAAAAGAAATAAAGACTAAAAGAAATAGAGGAAAAGAGAGAGAAAGAGATTAACTCTTCTCTCTTCACTTTCTATCCCTCTCTTCCTCTTCCTTCTCCCTTTCCCCTCCCCTCCCCTCCCCTCCCAGAAGGTGTCGCGGTTGTTAAGACAAAATGGCCTCGTTAGTAAGTTGTCTCCCCTCACTTCCTCCCTCTCCCCTCCTTCCCCTCACCCACCCCCCTCCTTCCCCTCACCACAACCACCCCATCCCACGGTAGGATTTGACGTCACGACTTGAGGGGAGTGTGAACTACGCTCTCTGGGCTTGTGGGTGTAGTTGTTATTGTTGTTATTTTTGTTGTATTTGTTATTTTATTATTATTAACTCGTGTACACCTCCACCCCTCTCCCCTCCTTCTCACGTACCCTTTCCTTCCTTCCTTCAGCCCTTCCTTTCTTCCTTCCTTCCCTCCTTCCTTCCTTCCTTCCTTCCTTCCTTCCTTCCTTCCTTCCTTCCTTCCTTCCTTCCTTCCTTCCTTCCTTCAGCCTCTTCCTTCCCTCCTTCTTCCTTCCTTTCTTTCTTCCTTTCCTTCCTTCCTTCCTTCCTTCCTTCCTTCCTTCCCTTCCTTCCCTCCTTCCTTCCTTCCTTCCTCCTTCCTTCCTTCCTTCCCTCCTTCCTTCCTTCTTCCTTCCTTCCTTCCTTCCTTCCTTTTCTCCCATATACTTTTCCCTCTCCATTACCATCACCACCCATATCCTCTCTCCCTTTCACGAGCGCTCTCCCATTTCCCACCCCTTCTCATATATCCTTTCCCTCTCACATATTCTCTCCCTCTCACCTCCCCTCTCTCATATTCTCCCTCTCTCTCCCTTTCACATAATCTCTCCTCTCCACCACCTATTCCTTCTCTCTCTCTCTTTCTCCTCCTCTTCTTCTTTTCCTTCTTCCTCTCACTTGCCTTCCTTCCTTCCTTCCTTCCTTCCTTCCTCTCTTCCCACACTATCCCTCCCCTCTTCCCTCCCTCCCCTCCCCAATGACTCAGTATTAGGTGTGGGTCATCACTGAACAAACACACTGCAAGAAATTAACCGGCCAATGCACAGGCCGGTGTTACTGTCTGCCTGGCCTGGGCTACTCATACTGCTGGATGGTGGTAGTTGTGGTTGGTGGGGTGGTAGTTGTGGTGGGAGAGGTTTTTTATGATGGTAATAGTGGTTGTTGTTTGTGATGGTAGTGGTTGGTGTTATTGGGAATGGTTATGATGTAGTTGTTGTTCAGGTGGTGGTTGCTATAACAGGTTGATGGTGGTTAAATAGTGGTTGTTAAATAATGATTGATGAATTGTGGTTATTTATATGGTTGATGTTAAATTGTGGTTGTTTAGATGGTGGTTGTTAAATAGTGGTTGTTTAGATGGTGGTTGTTAAATAATGATTGATGAATTGTGGTTATTTATATGGTTGTTTAGATGGTGGTTGTTAAATTGTGGTTTAGATGGTGGTTGTTTAGATAGTGGTTGTTTAGATGGTGGTTGTTTAGATAGTGGTTGTTTAGATGGTGGTTGTTTAGATGGTGGTTGTTTAGATAGTGGTTGTTTAGATAGTGGTTGTTTAGATGGTGGTTGTTAAATTGTGGTTTTTTAGATGGTGGTTGTTAAATTGTGGTTTAGATGGTGGTTGTTTAGATGGTGGTTATTTTAGATGGTGGTTGTTTAGATAGTGGTTGTTTAGATAGTGGTTGTTTAGATGGTGGTTGTTTAGATAGTGGTTGTTTAGATGGTGGTTGTTTAGATGGTGGTTGTTTAGATGGTGGTTGTTTAGATGGTGGTTGTTTAGATGGTGGTTGTTTAGATGGTGGTTGTTTAGATAGTGGTTGTTTAGATGGTGGTTGTTTAGATGGTGGTTGTTTAGATGGTGGTTGTTTAGATAGTGGTTGTTTAGATGGTGGTTGTTTAGATAGTGGTTGTTTAGATGGTGGTTGTTTAGATGGTGGTTGTTTAGATAGTGGTTGTTTAGATAGTGGTTGTTTAGATGGTGGTTGTTTAGATGGTGGTTGTTTAGATGGTGGTTGCACAGTAGCGTCAAACAACACACAGCGGTTGATTGAAACATCGGGTGTTCCCAGGACCCTCCCTTTCCTTCCCTTCCTTCCCTCCCTCCTTCCTTTCCTTCCCTTCCTTTCCTCCCTCCCTTTCCCTTCCCTTCCTTTCCTCCCTCCTTCCTTTCCCTTCCTTCCTTTCCTCCCTCCTTTCCCTTCCCTTCCTTCCTCCCTCCTCCCTCCTTTCCTTTTCTACCCATCCTTCCTTCCCTTCCTGCATTTGCTTCATCCTTCTTCCCTTCATTCTTCCTTCCGTCCTTCCTATTCCTCTTTTCCCTCCTCCTTCCCTCCCTTTCCTGCATTTATCTCCATCCCTCCTTTCCTTCATTCTCCACCCTCTCTTTACCTCCTTCCTTCCTAACTTCCCTCCCCTTCCACCCACCCCTCCCTCTCACCCACCCCTCCACCTCTCCCCCTCTCACCCTCTCACCCTCTCACCCTCTCACCCTTTCCCCCCTCCCCTCTCCCCCCCTCACCCCTCTCCCCCTCACCCCTCTCACCTCATCCCCCCCCTCCCCTCACCCACTCATCCCCCTCACCCCTTCACCCTCTCATCCCCTCACCCCCTCACCCTCTCCCCCTCACCCCTCCCCCCCTCACCCCTCCCCCCTCACCCTCTCTCACCCTCTCATCCCCCTCACCCCCTCACCCTCCTCATCCCCCCTCACCCCCTTCACCCTCTCCATCCCCCTCCACCCCCTCACCCTCTCTCCTCACCCCCACCCTCTCTCCCCTCCCCCCTCACCCTCCCTCACCCTTCGTAGCAGAGTGTCATGGCGGGATTATTGTTGTAGTGTTCTCCGATGAGTTAAAACTGTACAAACAAGCCGTGATTCACCCTGTATCAACACCGTAGGTAATGGTTCCAGTCCTCCCTGGCCAGATTACCTCATCCCATACCCTCCCCCCTCCCTTCTCCCTCATCCCCCTTCTATTTTTCTATTTCCCCTTGCGTCCCTCTCTCTCTCTACCCCCCTTTTTCCCATCCCATCTTTATTCCTCCTCCTCTCTTCCTTCGCCTTTTCCTTCCTTTTCATCTCTTCCTTTCCCTCTGTTTCCCCTCTTTTCCTTTCCTACCCCTCCCTTCCACTCTTCCCTCTATTCTCTCCCTTTCCCCTTCTCCCTTTCTTCCCTTCTCTCCTTTCCCCTTCATTACTCTCTCCCTTCCTTCCCCCTCCTCCCCCTACCACGAGACTCCGTAATATGTCTTTACTCTCAGGGATATATTGGCTGTGTTTGTCAAGGCTGTCTTTGTTTTGGTGAATTTATAATGTCTTTGTTCTTGTTTTTTAGTGTTTTCGTTGTTTTGGTGAAGAGTCATAATGCGGATGTTATTATTGTTTTGTTTTGGTGGTAATGTGTGTTTGTTTGTTTGTTTCTATCCTGTTTTGAAGACGTTTTCTTTGTTTTGATAAAGTTTTAATGTGTTTGTCTTTTTTTTCAATTTTTTTGTAAACATTCACGTTGTTTTGTTACGGGTTATGATGTGGCCACTGTCTTTGTTGTTGTTGTTTATTGAGGAAATATTACCTTTGTGAACACTAATAATTATTATCATCTTGTAATTAAAGATCGAGTTAAAACACCTGTCAATTATTTGCGCGTTTATGTATGTATGCATTTGTGTGTGTGTGTATGTAAGTATGCGTGCATGTATATAAGTATGTATGTATGTATGTATGTATGTATGTATGTATGTATGTATGTATGACAAGTTTCTTTACGCCATTTGCCTCTGTCTACCCAGCAGTAATTGGGGACCTGGATGTTAATCGATTTGCGTATATATCGTGTTCCGAGGTAATGGTTAGCCAGTGCAGTTGGCGAGTTGTCCGGTCTTCTCGGACTATTCCTTGACACTGGGTCACTCAGCTCGTTAACTCAGGGTGTGGTGGTTGTGTTGGCGACAGCTTCTACACCTTAAACAAATGCACGCCAGGTGGCCCTTGGACCGGTCATCCTCGTAACACATGGGGGAACCAGTATGTATAGGGGGGGAGGTAAACCAACATGGCGTCGTTATTGCACTAAGACTCTTTATGATCTGTGTCTCTCTCTCTCTCTCCACAGGTCTGGGAGACGCGTGGGGAGCGGCGCCCCCCCAGACCAACCCTCGGGAGGCTGCCATCAAGGAACTGGGCTCACACCTTCTGCAGGTAGGTACTGGTGGTGCTGGGTGTTGCTTCCTACAGTATTCCTCCTCCTCCTTCTTCATTGTTTTCCTCTACTTTCGCCCCTTTTTCCTCTTCCTCTACCTCTTAATTTTCTCCTCTTCCCTCCTCTTCTTTTTCCTCTCCTCCTCTCACCTCCCCTCCTCCCCTCCCCCTCCCTCCTCCTCCTCCTCCTCCTCCCCTCCCCTCCCCTCCCCATCCTCTCCCCTCCTCCTCCTCTCACCCTCTTTTTCTTCCACCTCTCGGAAAAAAAAAATATTGTTTTTTAAGTAATAAATAATACTTTTTTCAGGATTAAATAATATAAATTTACTTTATTTAAATATTTATGTTATTTCATTTTATTTCGTAAGGATTTTTATTTTGGATTTTTGTGTTTATTTTATTTCTTAAGTGATACAATTTTAAGTAAGGTAGACATTTGTTTAAGTAAATCTGGTTTATAATTTAGTAGTTAATTAGTAGTTGAGTTTTGTTTGTTTGTTTGTTTCTTTGTTTTCGTCTTAATTACTTCAGTGGATAAGTTTATTTTTTAGTGGATGTCTGATTACCCATTCCTGCCCATCACCGCCCATCACCACACTCCTCACCCATCGTCACCACCCCCCACCCTACCACCCATCATCTCGCTTCCTCCCACCCTTCACCACCCGCCCATCACCGCTCTTCCCCCCGCCCATCACCAACCATCCCCTACGCCCATCACCACGCCCACGCTAGGCTGACCACCAACAAGTGCGACAATATGGAGTGGGTGGCGGGCGTGCCTGAGTGACGCGCCACCCGCCACGCCCTCTCGACCACACGCCCACTCAACGCCCACGCCTCAGTGCACGCCCATGATGGTATTAACTAGGATACGAGGTGGCAGTAAGAGGCGGTACACACACACGTACACACAGCCACACAGTACACACACACACACACAGTACACACACACACACTGCACAATACACAGTACACACACACAGTACACACACACACACACACACACACACACATACATACATACACACACAATTACACACATGACATATATAAACAACAGTGCTTTCTTTATTATTATTTATTTTATTTTTTATTTTATTAATTTATTAATTTATTGTCGTTAATATTGCGTCCTTCAGATTTACGTGGGGTAGAAGGGGTGAGAGACTAAAATCACGACCTCAGCATGCATTAGAAAAAAATCACCCTAAAATCCCTCCCTTTCACGTACTGATTAGATTTACCATAAGACTTTCAGAGGAGTTTCAATAATAATGCAGTCCTTCCACCTCACTCTGGCCTACTGAGCCTATACTGACGCGGCGGAGAACCTGAAGGTGAAATTATAGTACTCAGGTGTTAAGTCATTGTACTCTTGGGTTTAAGTTAATGTACTCTAGGGGTGAGGTCATACTCTAGGGGTTAAGTCATACTCGAGGGGTTAATTCATTGTACTCAAAGTATTAAGTAATCGTACTCAAGCCATCATCAACAAGGCATATTTTTCAGAATTTGCCTCTTCTTCCTCCTCGTCCTCTTCCCCTTCTTCCTCCTCGTCCTCCTCTTCCCCTTCTTCCTCCTCGTCCTCCTCTTCCCCTTCTTCTTCCTGCTCCTCTTCTTCCTCCCTTTTCCTCCTATTCCTCCTCCTCTTCTTTTCCCTCTTCCTCTCCTTCCTTCTCCTCCTCCCTGTGTTCGATGTTGCCCAAGCTTGTGATCTGACAGTACCACCAGAAAAAGGAATGCAAGTCTCTCTCTCTCTCTCTCTCTCTCTCTCTCTCTCCTCTCTCTCTCTCTCCTCTCTCTCTCTCTCTCTCTCTCTCTCTCTCTCTCTCTCCTCTCTCTCTCTCTCTCTCTCTCTCTCTCTCTCTCTCTCGTGCGTGCTTAAGTGGGCCAACTTAGACTATTTTGTCTAATTAGCTGATCACAAGAAACAAGGGGAAGAGGAGGAGGAGGGAGAGGGGAAGGGAAGGGAAGGAGGAGAGTGAGGGGAGGAGGTATAGCGAGGGGAAGGGGTAGTGACAGGAGAAAGAAGAGGAAGAGTAAAAGCAAATGAAGGAAGTGAGGGAAGAGGAGAGAGAGAGAGAGTTGGTGGACCACATGTGTTGTACCTTCTGTGTTTGTTATCATATGTGACTTGACCCACACACAGGCAAATATACCTGTGTGTGTGTGTGTGTCTGTATGTATGTATGTATTACCTTAATTATTATGTTTACTTGCCCACGTGTATGTATGTATGTATGTCTGTCTGTATGTATGTATGTATGTATTACCTTAATTTCTATGTTTACTTACCTTTGTGTGTGTATGTATGTATTATCTTAATTAATTACTATATTCACTTACCCACGTGTATGTATGTATGAATGGATGTATGTGTGTATTACCTTGAATTCCTATGTGCTTACCTGTGTGCATGTATATGTGTATGTATTATCTTAATTAATTACTATATTCACTTACCCACGTGTATGTATGTATGTATGTATGTATGTATGTATTACCTTAATTACTATGTTTACTTACTTACCTTACAGACGCTGGACGGGTTCATCTTTGTGGTGGCGCCCGACGGTAAAATAATGTACATATCAGAGACCGCTTCAGTACACCTTGGTCTCTCCCAGGTGAGTCTTGTAACACCTTTGTAATTATCAGGTTAATTAAGGTAGCTGGCATGAATAACATGATGTAATTGGTTCACCTGATGATTACCTCCTCCCCCCCCTTATTACACCTGGTGGTTCATTATCATATGATGTTATTTTGAGGGGTTGGGTTAGGTTAAGTTTGGTTAGGTTAGGTTAGGTTAGGTTAGGTTAAGTTGGGTTGGGTTACATTAGGTTAGGTTAACAGATAACATGATAAGGAGTGTTTCTCGTGCGACATTGAGTTACTGACGACACACATGGAAACCTAACCAAACCTAACCTAACCTAACCAAACCTAACCTAACCTAACCTAACCTAACCAAACCAAACCTAACCTAACCAAATCATCCCTAGAAAGAAAAAAAACAGCGACTAAGATGATTCCTGAACTCTTATCATATAAAGTTTAATATAAAGAACAATATATATGATTCTTTTTTTTAAATTATAAGTTCATATATTAAATTGATCTATATAATGTATTTGAATATATAACAGACCATTGCTATATTATTATGAACTACAGGAGGTCAATAATGTGACACAGTTTGAGGGCTGGAGCGGCAGTTTGTGTTGTTAAGAGTGAAGCAGTGGGAGCAGTCAATTTGGTGGGCCATGGAGGGGTGATGGAGGGTCGAAGGGAAGGTGCAGTTGGAGAGAGTGAGGTGTGGAGGGCTGGGAGGGAAGGGTGGAGGGCTAGAGGGGAGGGGTGGAGGCTAGAGAGGGCTGGAGGAGGTGGAGGGCTAGGGAGGAGGAGGCTGGAAGGGAGGGGGGAGGGTTAGAGGGGAGGGGTGGAGGGCTAGAGAGGAGGGGTGGAGGGCTGGGAGGGAGGGTGGAGTTTGGTTGCAGTTCGACGTGCCTCAGCTGCCGTTCCCGCGCCAACGAGCCAACCGGCCCAACATTTTTACAATCTAGACAAATTTATTCCTCGCAGTAATTGGTTAGTGTATCAGCGGTGCTTCCGGCAACCTATTACCCCTCTATTGACTCTTTCCCGAGTGTTTGTTTGTTTACCGCGTGAGTCAGGGAACGGTAGTTGTAAATTTGATGTCGGGTGAGGTGACGTTAGGGTGTGTTTATATATATTCTCTTAATTTATTTATTTAGCGTTGTAATCGTTCACTGTTGATGTATGCATTCAAGAGTAAATATTTTTTCCCCCTAAAGAATCCCGTACGAAGTGAATGACGTTGACTTAACATGGATTCTTATGTATGCATGTCAGTCTCCAGTCATTCCCAAGTCGTTGATGTTTATACACTCGGGTGCATGTCAACATCTTAACGAGCATACACTACATCACCCAACACGCACTTCCTTTATCTCTACCTACACGTGTAAATAATTCAAAAGATAGATATTTGACTAGTGCATAAAGGCTATACACCATCTTAAAGCATTGTTATATTTGTTAGTTATGTTTAGAGGAATTACTTAGGGTATGTTACCGTAATGGCGAAATTGTCTCTTTATTTATTTTATATATCTTTTACCAATTCCCTGTATCAGTATAGTATATATATAAAAGCTGTATTGTATTAAAAGAAAATGTTGAAGGATAGCTCTCCCTCGACACGGCGTATAATAAAAGTATCGCTCCCTTTTTCCCCCCAGCGAGGTTAGAATTCTTGTGGCTTCTGGCATGTTGTGAGAGGGGCGGGGTTACGCACACTCCGGAGTCAACTGAGCATCTGCCGCACATAAATAATGACCGCTGCCAATAAGTCTTCCCTCTTTCTCATTATATTCTGTACATTTACTTATCCTTATTCTTCTCCATCATTTTTCACATTTCTTTATTCATTTACGAGTTTTTTTTTAAATGAGTCGAGAAAAAAAAACGGTAATTTGGAGACATTTTCGTATTTTTTCACGTCAGTATGGCGGCGGCCTCAAAGAAATGTAAAACCATGTCTTCTTTTCTTATTTCTATTTCCTCTTTTTCTTCTTCATTTTCGTCCATCACTTTCCTCCAGTTGGCAACTATATTTCTGTTAATCATAATATTTTCAGGTATTTTAGTACGAAGAAATTTGTTTTAATTTTTACTTCTTTAAAATCTAATTTATAAAATAGTGCCTTTTCTGATTTATTTGACTTATTTCTTTCAATTTATATTTTTATATCACAACTTTAATGATAAATACGTTTACTGTAAAATAATAATAAATAATAATGGTAAAATTAATTGTAATAATGCTCATAAGAATATAATAATAATTCCAATAATAGAAATAATGGTGATATTAAAATAGCAATAATGATACTAGTTAATAGCAATATGTATGTATCTATACGTGTGGGTATATATATGTGTTATACTTTGTGTGTATGTACGGTATGTATTTGTGTCCAGTATTATTAAAGTTGCGGGTTTGGCACACACACACACACACACACACACACACACACACACACACACACACACACCAAAAATATAGTAGGAATTAATGTTACATACGACAACTCAAATATGCAAGGTTTTAGTTCAGTAAAAAAACAAATCGAAAAAATACATAGAAAACGGAACGGTCAAACACACACACAAACTGAGCTAGCCAATCAACGTCACAGGAGTGGTAGGTGAACAGCCAATGGGAGGCGGGCTGGGCTATGCTGGAGGGTCGTGATGGTACCAGGAGGGTCGTGATGGTACTAGGAGGGTCGTGGTGGTACTGGGAGGGTCGTGATGGTACCGGGAGGGTCGTGATGGTACCGGGAGGGTCGTGATGGTACTGGGAGGGTCGTGATCGTACGCTAATCCCCGGGATCTCGGGTCCGCACGAGGCTGGCTGGTAGTGTCAAGTCAATTCATTCATTTCTTAGTTTTTTTGTTGTTTTTGAGAGGCGTAATCGGGGAGTGAGAAGTAATGGTTGTTTTATTGTCACTAACACACGCATGTACACCATTCATACATACATACATACATTACATACATACATACATACATACTTGTCCTTGGTGTTGGAAGCTGGCCGGCACTATGGGGTCACCTCTGCCTGTTCTATATTGTTTTACATTTTTTAATTTGTATTTTTTTTCTTTTTGTTATTCTTTATTTATTGTTGTTATTCTTCTATCCTTTATTTTTGTGGTTTGATGGGGATTATTTTGTATTGTCTTTCGTATCATTTTTATTGTTATTTTTCACTCTTCTGTATTTTTTCTCGCTTCTCTGTTCATCTCACACCCGGGAGAAGCGAGGTCCGAAGACTTACGCCAGTGTGTTCGCCAGGCAGAGGTTGTAGAGAGAAAGAATAGTAGTAGAAATATTATACCATCAAAATTCAAATTCAACCGTAGTAATATCCCCTCATTAGTCTTCATAAATATATATATATGTATAATACCAATAACACAAACAGAAATGTGTAGCTGTCGGTGGTGGCGGCGGCGGCATTTGAAGAACAAACGTCAGGCCGAAGATAATATTGTGATGTTTGAGGATTTGGCGGGAAACAGACGAGAGTAATTTGGCGCGAGATTTGGATTCCCGGGATAACAGGGCGGTGAAGGGACGCGGCAAATTTTTTATGGTCGCGTTCTTCTGGGGGGAAATATTTAACTGGTATTTTTATTTTAGTCTTTAGTTTAAGGCTCATAATATTTATTTTTATTACGTCTTTAAGCCATTACCAGTGATGTTTGTTTGTTCAGTTGAGATTTTGTTGTGAAATGCCTTAAGATATAGCATGGTTGTATATATAGAGACCAGTTAAGTAAAATAACGACATTACGCCGTTGTTACTTAATTACTTGTGTTAGGTATAATGTTGCAGTGATTATTTGATGTTCTGTTTACGGTTGGAATAAACATTGAAGTATTAACATAATTTTCTGGTTATTTATCATCTTACAAATTATAATGAAATGTTAAACTCGTTGCTAAATTAATTACCTGTGTTATTAACCTGTATAAACCATTACCTCACACACTCACAGTCTAACCTAACCTAACCTGTCCCAAAATGCTCTGAAAATCTCTTTCACGCTGGGGGCAACTACTGACCCCAGAACCCCCTCCCAAAGATATTGTCTCCAGCCCCCCTCGATCCCCTCCCCTCTCCCCCTTCCCCTCCTCTTCCTTACACTCACAAAACTTGGTGTATGTGCTGTTGCTACGTCAGGTTTGCCCCCTCCTTCCCCTCTTCTCCCCCTTCCCCTCTTCTCCCCCTTCCCCTCTTCTCCCCCTTCCCCTCTTCTCCCCTTCCCCTCTTCTCCCTCCTCCTCCTCATCTCCCCTCTCCCCCTCCTCCCTAAAATTGGTGCCTGGAATCGCCCCTATAGTTTGTACCCGTATTTGGCTTAGGTCAGTTCTTACCCCCGGAGCATAAAGTAGCCAACAGGAGGTATACTTTATTCCGTTTGTCCGTCTTTACGTCAATGTTTTGGTCTGTAAAGTTCTGTGTGTTTTCATTGTGCGAAAAATTACCATGGCAATACCTGGAATATTTTACCATGAGTTGTATCAAAAGTTTATCAATGGACTTTTATCATCTGTTGGCTAAACCTGCCTATATAGTTGGGTTTTAATCTGTAAAACCTTTTCGACTTTGAGGACAGACAGACACAGACAGACAGACACACACAAAACAAGACAGGAGGAAGACTTCTTACACCCCAAGAATCCTGTACACCAACATGGGAGAAAGGAGGAAGAGGAGGGAGAGAGGTATGATCGAGTCGTCTTCTTCCTCCTCTCCTGTGTTGGTCGGGGAGGCGTGATCCCTAGATAGGGCACGTCAGCGGCTGGTGGGTCGATACGCCTTCTCTCCCTGTGGCTGCTGTAGTGTTGTGACGGTGATGGCAACTGCTATACTCTCTGTTGTCACTGATGCTGTCCAAGTTGTTTTGTTCTCTCTCTCTCTCTCTCTCTCTCTCTCTCTCTCTCTCTCTCTCTCTCTCTCTCTCTCTCTCTCTCTCTCTCTCTCCTGTTTTGCTGTTTAGTAAACGGTGAGGGTTGGTTGTTCCTTCCTTCCTTCCTTCCTTCCTTCCTTCCTTCCTTCCTTCCTTCCTTCCTTCGTTTCATTTTGCTGGTTTAGAGGATGGCGAAGGAGAGGTTGGTCTTTGTTATGGGTACTGGAGTGGTGTATGAAGGGGTAGAACTTGATGGTGTTGTTTTGGTGGACTACTGTGTGATGGTGCGGGTGACGGCAGGTCCTTTAGCTCGATACGAAGTTACACCACGCACGCTCAAGACCTTAACTGAAACGTTAATGTGCTGGTTGACCCATGTTAAAAATAAGAAAAAACGTGTTTGTGGGTTTTTCTTCGGATTCAGCCTCGCGACGCTCGGTGGGCGACGACGGACTCAGCCTCGCGACGCTCGGTGGGGGACGACGGACTCCGCCTCGGTACTCTCAGTGGGGGACGACGGACTCCGCCTCGGGACTCTCAGTGGGGCCAATGGACTCCGCCTCGGGACTCTCCAAGTGAAAATATTAATTTTGTTGGGAAATTCTGTCAACATTTTAAAGACGGAAAGTACGGCTGTGTGGCAGGAGATGGCGGCCATCTTGTACAGTTGGGCCAGGTAATACGAGGTGTGGTAATACCGAGACGTCACGAAGTCTAGGAACACATAAGAGTGGTACGCACAGGTGTTATACCTCTGATTGGGGGCGTCAACGATTGTCAGGTCCTGACGGGGGATCTTGATAAGGTCCATATACTTCAGAAAGGACTCGTCGACAGCAGTCTTGGCCGAGTCATAGTACAGGTACCTGCCGTCCAGGGCCCTGTACACGGAGACCATATGAGAGTTTCCTTCGTCGGGGTGGTTGAGGCAGATGGTCATGTAGCTTCTCCCGGTCCATGGTGTACCGCAGGGTGGACAGCCGCCAGTCTTCCGTGTCTACTCCGGCAGCTTCTGAGGTGAACTTCAGAAATGATGGTGATGAAGAAAAATCAATATAATGAAGTTAGAACATTTGCTTCTGGTACTGATGATGTGTAGTGAACATATACCAAGTGTGTGTGTGTAATAATAATAATAATAATAATTAACGGTTTATTGAAAGAGCATGGCAGCCGGAAGGCTGTGTGTGTGTGTGGTATATGCTTGAGTACATCTGTCTGTCTGTCTCTGTCATCAAAAGCGTGTCTGTCTTTTGTGTCTGTATCTTTCTGTAATCATAAGTCTGTCTGTCTGTCTAACTAATCATTAGTGTCTGTGTGTCTGTCTATAATTAGAAGTTTGTCTGCGTCTGTCTGTAACTATATAAGTGCATCTGTGTGTCTGTGTCTGTAAATAACAAGTTTGTCTGTATATATCAGTGCAGTTATAAGTCTGTCTGTTTAACTAAGTGCGTCTCTCTGTCTCTCTGTCTCTCTGTCTGTCTGTCTGTCTTTCAAAGGTTCAGATTTATATCCTGTCTCCTGTTTGTTTATAGTATCAAAAAAAGATTAATTTATTGGATTTATTATTTTTTTTAGTCCTTATTTCCGTGTTATGATAAATTAGTTCTGTTTACCTGTTATTTTGTTTGTTTACCTAACCTAATTCGACCCGATCCCCCCCCCCTGTTGTTTTTAAGTCATCGGGTGAAATAATTGGGGGCTAATCTTCAGGTGATCTTATTGTTGTTATTATCATTATTAGTAGTAATAGTATGAATTAGTAGTAGTAGTAGTAGTAGTAGTAGTATAAATATAGTTGATCAAGGCAGCTTCATGGTGTTCACAACCTCTGGTGGGATGGGACCAAGTTGAAGAAGCTTCTACGCCAGACTCGCGGAGGTGATATCCGAACAGAAGCAGCAGCCCAGAAGTTATGTTACAGCCTGGATGAGATGTCGACTGTCCTTCTCTCTCCTTCGGTCGGCTTTGCTCTACCTCAGGGGAACGAGAGCATCGACCCCAATGCCGACAACAGTTGCAGATATTGACTATGAGGCTACAGTCACTGAATGCCGCATAGATCTGCGGCTCAACTAACCCAACACATATAGGATAGCTACTTATGTATTAGGATATTTAATATTAAGGAAATAAAATGGTGGCGAAGGTGTGGCTATTAGGGGAGGCTGGAGGACACGTTTATGTAGTAGTAGTGTAGTAGTAGGAGTAGTAGTATAGTAGTAACAGTAGTAGTATAGTAGTAACAGTAGTAGTATAGTAGTAACAGTAGTAGTATAGTAGTAACAGTAGTAGTATGAATTAATTTAACCCCGTGAGATAATTTTTCCTTAACAGTTATTGATGTTTATGGCCAAGGTGTCCTGTTGAAGTGTCGTAAACTGTTGTACCGTTAACAGGTGGAGCTGACGGGCAACAGTATCTACGAGTATATTCACCCGGCTGACCACGAGGAAATGACGGCAGTGCTCAACCTCACGCCCCAGCCCGTCCCCCACTCCCCGTACGTGAGGCAGGGTAAGTACTGCACCTCCTCATTCCCTCAGTACCTCTCCTCCTTCCTTCAGTATCTCCCCCTACAATATCTCCTTCCTCCCCCAGTATCTCCCCTTTCAGTGTCTCCCCCTTCAGTGTCTCCCCCTTCAGTATCTTCCCCTTCAGTACCCCCCTCCCCCAGTATCTCCTCCCCTAGAACCTCTCCCCCCCATTATCTCCCCACCTCTCTCTCCAGTATCCTTCTCCTCCACTATCTCCCCACCCCCACCCCAGTCAAGTTATGTTGCATATAAACGGTATATATATATATATATATATATATATATATATATATATATATATATATATATATATATATATATATATTTATTTATATATAATTTTTTAGGTTATAATATTAAAATAACAATTAAGTTTAATATAAAAATGAAAAATACTATTGTTTGATAGAAAATAGTTATTGTTTATCTTGTGTATATTTTTATTATTGTTCATTTTCTTATCTATATTAATTGAAAGTATTTATTATTATTATTATTATTATTATTATTATTATTATTATCAATATTACATTAAGGTATCGTGTTATTATCATCATCATCATCATCATCGTTGTTATCACCTACATTAAGTAAAGGGTCGCCATATATTGTGTGTTGTTTCTCTGCAGACGAAGAGATTGAACGGACTTTCTTTATACGGATGAAATGTGTTTTGGCCAAGAGGAACGCCGGGCTGACCACTGGCGGGTATAAGGTGGGTGTGTGCAGTTGTTCCTCTTCCTTCTCTTCTTTTTCTTATTCCTCTTTCTTCTCTTCTTCCTCCTTTTTTCTTCTGCCTCCTCGTCTTGTTCTTCCTCCCCTCTTCCTCCCCCCTCCTCTTCCTCCCCCCTCTCCTCTTCCTCCCCCTCTCCTCTTCCCCCTCTCCTCTTCCCCCTCCTCTCCCCCCTCCTCTTCCCCCCTCCTCTTCCTCTCCTCCTCCCCCTCTTCCTCTCCCTCCTCTTCCTCTGTATACAAGACCAACTTTTGTGTTTATGTGTGAGACAGACAGACAGTATAGGCTGATAAACTCTCTCAGCGTCTTAAAAACTGGTTACATAAAATCATCATAAACATTTACAATACATTAGTTGAATAAATATTTATCTAATAAAAAATAACGTCTTGTGCCTTAACTTTATATTAAAAACTGTGAATTAGTATTTTTATAAAGGTTTTCGGGTTAAATTTTAAATGTTTTGAAACATAACCGGATTGTAACTCTTATTGTACGAGTCATTTTGTATACTATAGCGGTAGCGGGGGTATATTATCCTTTGTTGACTGAGTGAGTAAGTCTCTGTCCATCTTAGGAACTTGTAAAAATGTCAAGATCCTGGTAAAGTTGTATAAAAATATCTTCAAGATGTGTCTAAGTGGTTGGTGAGGCAGTGTGAGTTTTTGGCGGGAAGTGACGGGAACAGTAAAGACAAGTTATATCTCGCTAATTATATTTTGTTGTTGTTATTCCGGCATTTTACTCGTAGTATTTCGTTGATTGTGTGTTTATAAAAGCTTTAACTGCGGGGAATACATTGTGTTAATATTATATCCAGGTAAATTTGAAATAGCCCCGCGCCAACACATACAGACATGACGTCACCTTCACCACAGTGTTACCGATACGGGAGAAAAGATTCACGTAGATCACCTCTCACCAGATAACTAATTTCATGTGTAACCTTTGCATATTTAGTCACAATTATCATCAGTTATTAAGAAGAGCATACTTGCTTATGTAAACATTCATAATGATGTTGTATTTATTGTTGTAAGTGATAGTGAGGGTGGGTAGCGCGGCGGGCGGGAGTTAGCAACAGTGTAACATTCACCCCGGGCGGTTCACAAGAGATAAACAAACCCGCTCATCCAAGATGGCGTCTCCTCCCCCCCTCACCTTCACCCAAGACGCCATTTTGTTCTTTAGCCTTTAGTGCCCTCATAAACGAGACATTTTCACACATAATTCGTATTAATATATTGCTTAAACACGAATATTTATTTTAATATATCTAGATAATATAAAAGCAAAGGAGAAAATAATATAGAACTTGATAAAAGGAACAACCACAGACTCGATAGCCCTTGAATAATGACTTTACAAAAATTTGCATAAGGAATCTGGCCCTGGATCCTCAGATGGTCGGACTGGGCTAACATTTCCCCGCAGATGTGGAAACTGGTTTTAAATGACTCGCTTAATCGCGGGCGTAAAGGATAAGAGGCAAAATGGCGTCAATCATACGCTGAGACTCTACCTTAGGGCCGCTAGATGATTGGCAAGACTTTGTAGGATGCTGGGTGAGTGATCTTGCTGAGTCATGGCCACACTGGGAGCTGGGTTGTAGGGCAGAATGTTAGCATTATCCTAAACATGTTAACATTATCCTAACGTAATATAGACGTTAACCTCACCAAATCTAACCTAACCTAAATGTTAACCTAACTTTATCCTCAGCCTAAACAAGCCAATTTAACCTTAAGTTAGCAAACTTTACTTAAACTATTCTAACTTATCCTGGCCACTAACTTACCAGGCCACTACCTTACCTGGCCACTACCTTACCTGGCCACTACCTTACCTGGCCACTAACTTACCTGGCCACTACCTTACCTATTTTCACTACTTATTTTTCCTTACCTTAGCCACTATACCTGGCCACTACCTTGCCTGTACTACACCACCTTACTCTGGCCACTAACTTACCTACTTTACCTGTACTACCTTACCTTACCTTACCTATTTTTCTATACCTGGCCACTACCTTACCTGGCCACTAATTTTAAGTATAACGAATTCATAGATATTTTACCTGTTCGTTACCCCAAAATAATTTAGAGTAACTTTTTTTTGGGGGGGGGGGGATAATTTGGTTTGAAATTATTTTAGGTATTATAGTTAATTTGTTTGGATTTTAAGTTTAGTGCAGATGAGTCCAAAATTTTAGGTTTAATTAATTGGTCGATATTCACACCTGTTAAACCGGTTAATTAGTCTAGTAATTAATTATATCACTAGTTTTAAGGGAAAAAGGGTTGAATTTTATGATTTTAAAAGACGCCTTTTTATTACTATTATTATTATTATTATTATTATTATTATTATTATTATTATCATCATTATTATAATCATCATTATTATCACTATTATTATTGATACCTTACTAATAAAAAACTTTGGTCAACTTGTGTAATAAAGACGCCATTTCATTCTTAATTAGTTAAAAGAAAAACAAAATAAAAGAGACAAACTTGATTATTTAAAGCCGAAGTCATAGTATGGAGGAAGGTATCGGAGGCAGGGTGGAGGCGGCCGTAATCTGCGGTGTTCGACCATCAAGCACGTCCCAGACCTCGACTGCCTCACTCAACCTGGAATGTTTTAAAAAAGAAAATGAGAAAAGAAAAGAAAGAGAGAGAGAAAATCGACTCTAATCCTTCCAAGAGATTCCGGAGACGAAATTTGAGTTGCGTGTGTGTGTGTGTGTGTGCGTGTGTGTGTGTGTGTGTGTCATGACTTCCGGTAGGAGGAGGAGGAAGTAGTTTAGTGGTGTGATAAGCCTTCTTGCCCTGCCTCTGTTGCTGTTCTTTGATAATTTTTTTCTCCTTTGATGGCGCGAGGGACATCTTCGACCATGACTTGCACTATATGTCACATCTTTGACTTTCTTGCCCTCCCACAAGATTAGTGTTTATTTATTTTCTGTTTTTGTGCGTGTGTGTTTATTCATTAATTTTATATTCCTTTTTGTAAATCAGCATTACGGTTTATTGTTACATAATTCGGTGACATCAGCAGTTTTGAGTTCAGGTTTAAAATACTCCAAACCGTTGACTTCTTATCACATTGTCAATATTGTTTTTGTTTTCTTATTCATTTTTCACTCTCGTTCGTCTCTTGCAAAGGATAAATAATGAATAATTAGCTTTTTGTTTAGTCTTGTGAGATGCTATTATACATTTTATTACCAAGCGTGTATTGATAACGTCATGCCATTCATCCTTGAGTACGGTGTCTTAAGTCCTTGAGTACAACGAATTATTAACCCCAGTGAGTACTGTGAATTAAAACATCGTACTCAAGGGTTTAAAACCGTACTCAAGGGTTAAGCCATCGTCCTCGGTATTTAAAATCTTACATGCCTTGTTTAAATAGATCTTACACACCTGACTGGTACACACAGCTGACTGCAACTCACAGCTGATTGGGATAAACAAACTACTGATAGAATTGGTGGGTCGTTTATAATGTGGTTTATTATCGTTACGTAAACAAACTGCATCTTAGGTTAGGTTTGGTTAGGTTAGGTTAGGTTAGGTGTTTGTCCTATAGTTGTCCACAAGATGGGTACTTATATAAACTTGAAATTTATATATATATATATATATATATATATATATATATATATATATATATATATATATATATAAATTATATAAGAACTGTTACTATTGACCGTGTGTGTGTGTGTGTGTGTGAATACTGATAGCCGTACATACACGTACAGCTTCATATGAACTAACATTAATGTATATCCTTGGATGTGCACCAAAATATATATACTGTGTGTACATTCTTAAGTATACTGTTTACATGTGTGTTTATACTCATGTAAGTACTGGTATACATACATCCATGTGTGTACTTGTGTAAGCACAGGTATATGTACTGATGTAAGTATAGGTGTATACGTACATGTGTATGTATAACAAGGGGTCGGTGACCACCTCGCCGGACTGTCATTGTTGTAACAATGACAGAGTTTCTTTGTTCCCCTCACGTTCATTTGTTTATTATCCCTCCCTCTCTGTGTATGTCTCCCTCTCTGTCTGTCGGTCTTTCTGGTGTGTCTGTCTGTCTTGTCTTGTCTTGTCTATGTATCTATTCTGTGGCTGACACGGGAGGTATGTATCTCTCTCTCTCTCTCTCTCTCTCTCTCTCTCTCTCTCTCTCTCTCTCAGTTAATGGTCATCCAGTCTCTCTCTTCTCTTCTGTTGACCTAAACTTTCTCTCTCTTCCTCCTCTCATCCATCTTCCCTTTTTTCTTCTCTTTGTTATCCAAGTTTCTTCTTAGTTACGACTTTTACTTGTCTCTCAGCTCCCCCAGGTGTGGACATATGTAAACAGGTGTGGAAACAGGTGTAATTAGGTCTAAGCAGGTGTAGACAGGTGTAAACTGGTGTAATTAGGTATAAACAGGTGTAGATAAAGTTTTAGTAGGTGTAGACAGGTGTAAGGTGTAAACAGGTAACAGTAACACCTGACGCTGTGTACACCTGAGGCTTGAGTGTCGCTGGTGTTGTCTATGGGTTTATTGCCTTGGTGATCCTTACTCCTACCTGGTGATCCTTACTCCTACCTGGTGATCCTTACTCCTACCTGGTGATCCTTACTCCTACCTGGTGATCCTTACTCCTACCTGGTGACCCTTACTCCAACCTGGTGATCCTTACTCCTACCTGGTGATCACACGTCCTTTAGTTCCTCCACCCAGGTGATCCACAGCCCCGGGTACCTGAACACCAAGCCTCCATCAGTACCTTAATGAGTCAGGTAGTCACTGTGTAACCTGTAGTAGGCATCAATTACCTGGTGGGTGGACATTAACACCTGTACCTTGCTCCACACAGGTGATCCACTGCTCCGGGTACCTGAAGATCAAGCACTACACACTAGACATGGCGCCCTACGACAGCTGCTACCAGAACGTGGGTCTCGTAGCTGTAGGTCACTCTCTCCCGCCTTCCGCCATCACTGAGATCAAGATGCACTCCAATATGTTCATGTTCAGAGCTTCCCTTGACCTGAAGCTGATCTTCCTTGACGCCCGGTGAGTGATACTACCATCTGTTGGGCGGATGTTACAGTAAAGATGGTGTTATTATATGTAGTTACTCTTCTTGTTATGATTGGTGAGTGCTGCTGCCATCTGTTGGGCGGATGTTACAGTAAAGATGGTGTTATTATATGTAGTTACTCTTCTTGTTATGATTGGTGAGTGCTGCTGCCATCTGTTGGGCGGATGTTACAGTGAAGATGGTGTTATTATATGTAGTTACTCTTCTTGTTATGATTGGTGAGTGCTGCTGCCATCTGTTGGGCGGATGTTACAGTAAAGATGGTGTTATTATATGTAGTTACGCTTCTTGTTATGATTGGTGAGTGCTGCTGCCATCTGTTGGGCGGATGTTACAGTAAAGATGGTGTTATTATATGTAGTTACGCTTCTTGTTATGATTGGTGAGTGCTGCTGCCATCTGTTGGGCGGATGTGCAATAGATGGTGTTGTATATGGTTACTTTCTGACATGATTGGTGAGTGCTGCTGCCATCTGTTGGGCGGATATTACAGTAGATGGTGTTATTATGTGGTTACGCTAACTGACTATGATTGGTGAGTGCTGCTGCCATCTGTTGGGCAGATGTTACAGTAAAGATGGTGTTATTATATGTAGTTACTCTTCTTGTTATGATTGGTGAGTGCTGCTGCCATCTGTTGGGCGGATGTTACAGTAAAGATGGTGTTATTATATGTAGTTACTCTTCTTGTTATGATTGGTGAGTGCTGCTGCCATCTGTTGGGCGGATGTTACAGTAAAGATGGTGTTATTATATGTAGTTACTCTTCTTGTTATGATTGGTGAGTGCTGCTGCCATCTGTTGGGCGGATGTTACAGTAAAGATGGTGTTATTATATGTAGTTACTCTTCTTGTTATGATTGGTGAGTGCTGCTGCCATCTGTTGGGCGGATGTTACAGTAAAGATGGTGTTGCTACTGTACCCTCTCTCTCTCACTCTCTCAATGACTGATTCCCTCTCTCCCTGACAGTGTGGGCGTGCTGACAGGGTTTGAACCACAGGACCTGATAGAGAAGACCTTGTACCAGTACATTCACGGCTGCGACATGATCCACATGCGCTTCTCTCACCACATGTGTAAGTGTTCATCATTTTGTTCATATTTGTTCATTTTGATTCATTAATGTTCATAGTTTATTCATTGTATTAATGTTCATAGTTTGTTCATTGTGATATATTCTGTTCATAGTTTGTTCATTATTTTATTCAATTATTCACTCAATGGTAACTTAATATATTTTTCTGTTTATATTTGTTATTTATGTTCTTTCTGTTCATATTTTGTTCACCTCCACCTCTTCCTTATACACACACACACACACACTCTCTCTCTCTCTCTCTCTCTCTCTCTCTCTCTCTCTCTCTCTCTCTCTCTCTCTCTCTCTCTCTCTCTCTCTCTCTCTCTCTCTCTCTCTCTCACCTCACCCCACACCCTCACCTTTCACCTCTCGTCCTCACAGTGCTAATGAAGGGGCAGGTGACGACGAAGTACTACAGGTTCCTGACGCGGGACGGTGGATGGGTGTGGATACAAACCTACGCTACTATCGTTCACAACTCACGTTCCTCCAGACCTCACTGTATCGTGGCTGTCAACTATGTCATCAGGTGTGTAGAGTGCGTTGGTAGGTGTGTGAGAGTGGGACTATGTGATCAGGTGTGTAGAGAGAGGGAGAGAGAGAAAGGGGAGAGGGGGGGGCGTGTGAGTGAAAGAGAGAGAGAGAGAGAGAGAGCAGCAATCGTATTTTAAGGTCCATCCTCTGTGCAACAAGGTGGAAAAGAGTGAGCGAGTGAATGAATGAATGAGTGTGAGAGTGAGCGAGCGAGCGAGTGATCCGGTGTGAGAGCGAGCGAGTGATCCAGTGTGAGAGCGAGTATTCCAGTGTGAGAGTGAATGAGTGAGTGATCCAGAGTGAGAGTGAGTGAGTGAGTGAGCGAGCGAGCGAGCGAGCGAGCGAGCGAGCGAGCGATCCAGTGTGAGAGCGAGTGAGCGAGCGAGCGAGTGATCCAGTGTGAGAGTGAGTGATCCAGTGTGAGAGCGAGTGAGCGAGTGAGTGATCCAGTGTGAGAGCGAGTGATCCAGTGCGACAGCGAGTGATCCAGTGTGAGAGCGAGTGATCCAGTGTGAGAGCGAGTGATCCAGTGTGAGAGCGAGTGATCCAGTGTGAGAGCGAGTGATCCAGTGTGAGAGCGAGTGAATGAATGAGTGAATATTGAGTTATCAGATAAAATTAACAATAATTAGTTTAAAAATTATATTAACACTTCATATAACCCCCAGGCTGTTCATCTTTATTCATAACATAAAGAACATTTAGTGTGTTCTTCTACTAGGTGCTGTTGTAGATGTTGTTAATAAGTAGTTGTGTAGGAGGAACAGCAATAGGTTATGGGAAGTAGTTGTAGTTTGTTAAGGTTCACATTGTTGGGTTGAGGTAGTGGGTAATTGGGTACAGTAGTTTGGTTGTTAGTCTCACACACACTTATGTAGTTTGAAGGTAGTTTGGATTTTTGTCTTTCTATATCACTTATTTTTTTATGGTATATTTGTCTCACATTGTCAATTTCTTATGATGTAGGTGTAGGTACAGTATAGGGTATAAGGTACACTACAGTATAAGGTACACTATAAGGTATAAGGTATAACTAATGTATTGTGGTGTACAGCGAGGTAGAGGCGCGGGAAGGGCGGCTATCGTGGGAGCAGGTTGGTGGGGGTCGGGGGGAGGAGGCGGGCAGCTGGGGGGAGGCTGGGGTGAAGGGCATGACCGGGGGGCGCCTCAAGTGCCGCACCTCGCCCTACCCCTCCCCTGCCCCCAGCGAGGCCCTACACGAAGTCCTGGAGGGTCCTGGGGGCGCCTCCCTCCACTACCCTGCTGCTCTGGCCCCTCCAGCTTTAGCAGCGCCCCCCACCCCCTACCCGGACCCCCGCCTCGCCTGCTACCCTCCCTCCTACGATGTGTACGACGACCGCTACGTCAGGAGCGACGCACAGCAGTACGCGGGGTGCAGCGCTCCTCTGGACCCCACGTCCCTGGCTGGCCCTGCCGCCGCCGCCGCCGCAGCTGTGGCCGCGTGTCACTACAGCAGCGTGAAGGGCGCGGGCGTGGGGTACGAAGAGCGCCCCTGGAGCCAGGGGTCAGGTAGCTCCTCCGCCTCCGAGGACCCCCGCCACGACTACCCCGCCAACAACAACAACAACACGACCACTACCACCCTTACCACGCCCATGTACCCCCTGCACGACTACTACACCCACGCCCACGACAAGTACTACACCACAGACAAACTGCAGTACGCCGCCGCGTCATCCACCCCAGACAAGACGCCGTACACAGAAAAGTTGCAATATTCGGATAAGGTTCAGTACGCGACGGGTGTTGGAGGTGGTGGCGGCGGCGGTAGTGGAGGCGGCGGCGGCGGCAGCTGCGTGAGGGGAGTATACAGCTACGTGGACGCCGCCCTCAGCACGCCCACGGAGGCGGCTATGACCAGCAAGACCCACGTGCTGCCTCAGCCCGGCTACACCTCCGTCATCGTGGACGCACAACAGTACTACGCCCAGAACGAGTTCGTCCACTAGTACACCCACCCACCCCGCCTCCCTAGCTCTGTCTTGCCCCCAACACGTCAGGTAAGGAGCCACCATGTACCACACGTCACCAACCCTCATGAAACCTCACTGATCAAGAGGGTTCACAAAACAAACAAACAGACGCGCTGCCACACTATACCACTGTCTAGAACCAGGACGGAACTTGTTGACATTGTTGCTCGTGCAGGACACCAGCCAAGACCTCCACAGTGCACGGCTCTGTCCTCACCTCCCGGACCTCGCCACTCAAGGAACTCCAACTCTCGTGCTTCAGTAACAAAGAACTCTATAGGCCGGACTCACGATCTGGACTCTGTACCATAAATATTAACCAAACGAACCTTCGTCTGGCGTAGTGTCCAAAAACAGGATGGAGGGGAATGCCAGGCGCTGCTTATTACTCGATTCGACACTTATCTTTTACGGTGCAAGTTGGTTGATCCAGTTAGTGTGACGTAATGATGACTTGAACGCTCATTGGCTCTCACATGATAAAGTTTTGAATGCTGATTGGTGTATCGGCTTCTGTATATAGCCCACCAGGCTCCTATTGGCTGCTTCTGTTGTAGTGAGTCGGTGTGTTTATGGAACATTCTCGGAGTTTTGTTTCCCTGATTGTCATTGTTGTTATTTTATTCGTCAACAACTTAGGTGTTTGGGCACTTCAGCCAAGTTACTAAAAAAATATTTAACCTAATAGTTACTTTAACCACTTCAGCTAAGTTATTTAAAGCACTTCAGCTAAGTTACTTGAGGTACTTCATCTAAAAGTTACTTAAAACAATTCAACCAAGTTATTTAAGTACTTCATATAAAGGTTACATAAAGCAATTCATCCCAAAGTTACTTAAAACAATTCAACCAAGTTACTAAAACACTTAATCTAAAAGTTAATTGCAGCTTTTGAACTAAAAATCACTTAAAACACTTCAGCTAAAAAGTTACTTAAAATATTTCACCTAAGTATAACCTAAAACACTTGAAAACTAATTTACTCCATACATAAAAAATCCAACAATTTAAAGTCATCGTTTTTCAACCTGTCATCCGTTTTGTATATCTTACGAGTACTGGGACACTTCGGTCTTCTCAATAATCATACAACATATTCTTCACAATGAGTCAAAACAGAGTATCTTTTATATCTTAAGTTTATATCTTTAAATTAATTTGTTTTATATTATCTCCCCCTAAACCAGTGGTATTATCTAGTCACTTGAATATTAAGTTTGCATAGTTGTGTTCGGGTGATCAGTTTAGGCGTAAAAAAAAAAAAAAACCACCAAAGCTGAATCTTGTATAATTTAACAAAAGTAAGTTAGATTATATTATTAAGATATTACATACATTCTGGTACAACATTGCGTTAGAACCATTGCGCTGTTTTGTAATTAATCGGACAGCCAATCAGCTTTCAAGACCATAGTTAAATTATTATTATTATTATTATTATCGTGAAATAATAATACAGTATTGTCTAATGATGCTGAAAATCTCCCAAGTGACGTCATCTACAGTATCGACCAATCAGATTCTAGCTAAGTCATGTTTGGTTACCAGTAAGTGACGTCATGGGGCTAACCCAGCAATCGTAATTAATCGAGACAAAAAACTAGTCATCAGTACTGCCATTGGTTGTGAATGGATAATGTTACGTCATAGGCTTCTACCAATGAGAATTACTGTAACATCTTGATGACTATGAGAGGCGGGTGAGAGGAGACCACCAATCACAACCGAGTATTTTTATACACACTGATTACACACCTATCCCAGGATCCCGCCCATCAACTTGTTTTAATATAATAATAACAACGATAATAATAGCAATGGACTTTTATTATGGACAATTTTATTTATGTGGAGGCCAAGAATTAGTTTATAACGATTATGATATGGTTTTCTGTAGACAAATAAACAATTTATGTAAAAAGTGATCATCTTGTAGCGGAGGAACAACGCGATGTAAAGTTTATACCAAGAACTACAGTATATATACTACTGTGTATTGAAGAACATTAATACACTTCTAATAACTTCTTTGGCAAAGTTTGTCTTGAAAGTTGTCGTACATAAAGAGCAAATATCGTGCACCAGGCAACACGTGTCAACAGGAACTATCGTACAATGGCAACAAGTATCGTTCATCAGGAAACACATGTCAACAGGAACTATCGTACAAGTATCGTGCATCAGTCAACACATGTCAACAGTAACTCGTACAACAGCAACAAGTATCGTGCATCAGGCAACACGTGTCAACAATAACTATCGTGTCAATGGCAAGTATCGTGCATTTGGCAACACAAGTCAACAGGAACTCTCGTACTCCGGCAACAAGAGCAGCTCGTACATCAGGCAACATTCCCGCTCTATTAAGCTTCGTGACCACTAAATGCTTTTCTATAGTTTTGTATCTGGATATAATGAATGTTTGATAGACTAATGAAATCCTGCATCGGGCATTATATTTTGTCACCAATTTGTTCTTATTATCACCAAGGACTAGAACAAGGCGTAATACTCTCAGTGTTACCAAGTGAATCACATAACTTGTAAATATCAATAGCCAAGGCGGAATTATTATCATTATTTTTTTGTAATGTTATTTCAAGTAATGAGTGATAAATTGTTTGTGCGTGCGTGTGTGTGTGCGTGTGTAATTTCAGTCAGTCAACTTTTTATGTCTTGTACAGTATCAAAATGTTGTAAATATTGTATTATATGAATGTCATATTAATAAAATTACTCTTTTTGAAAAAAAAACCGAAATATATTTTCTCTTGTTTTCCTCCATCGATTGGTGACGTCACAGTTTATGTTTATGAGTCGCCCTATCAGAAGGCCACAATGTAAGTGACGTCATAGGATTTGATATCACTCGCGCCCAATCCACCTGTATCTTTCTTTTCTCTGTAGAGGTGACCAATCAAACATCGTCTTTAACCAGTGACGTCGTTTATTTCTCAAGCCAATCAGAAAACGTCTCTTGAATTATGACGTTACGCATACATTGTGATTGTCATTTAACTAAAGGGTTATACTGATTTTGTTTTCCAATAAAATTCTGTGATATATGAAAATTGGGACCTTGACGCAGTATGTACAAAATATTTGATAAGTATTCGGTGCATAGTTAATTAGTAGTTAATTTGAGTAGTTTAATCACCACAAATAATTTACCCTTAAACACCTCTATTCCATCAGACGTTTTATTACGTGACATCCGATTGGCTATGACGTCACAACATGCTAACCTAACGTAAAGACTAACAAATCTTAACTCTAGCCTAACTAACCTAAATATTAACCATCCTAACCTAACCTAACACTTTGGGGGGATGAGGTTAGGTTAGGCTTACATTTTGGTGGTTAATAATCAGGTGAAATAAACTAGGGTGGCGATTCTTCAGGTGATGCAAATATTTACGTGGAAAGTTGACATGGAAAATTATCTCACTTATACAAAGGAATTAAATTACTAATCAATTACCCTAAGTGAAAATTAAGTTACTTCAATAAGGTAAATGTTATTGTATGATTATATATATAGTTAATTATTTAAATATGAATTAATTATTTAACCCAGGATTACACATCTAATTGTTAAATAATAAACTTACATTTAATTGGGTCAAAATTTTCGTATTTAAACATTTACCAAGAATAACTTAGAGAGAATTATTTAAAACATTTATTAATTTAGATAAATGAAGGAAAAACATTGAGGATTTAGGTAAGATTTAAGGGGTAGTGTTTTAGGTAAGATTTAAGGGGTAGTGTTTTAGGTAAGATTTATGGGGTAGTGTTTTAGGTAAGATTTAAGGGGTAGTGTTTTAGGTAAGATTTAAGGGGTAGTGTTTTAGGTAAGATTTAAGGGGGTAGTGTTTTAGGTAAGATTAAGGGGTAGTGTTTTAGGTAAGATTTAAGGGGTAGTGTTTTAGGTAAGATTTAAGGGGGTAGTGTTTTAGGTAAGATTAAGGAGGTAGTGTTTTAGGTAAGATTTAAGGGGGTAGTGTTTTAGGTAAGATTAAGGAGGTAGTGTTTTAGGTAAGATTTAAGGAGGAAGGGTACTGAACGTAAGGATAGAGAATCGAAGACAAACATGAATCTATTTTTTTCACCATCATGTCGCTTTTGTTTTCCCCGATGACGTCAGCCCAAAGGAAGTCGCTGATTGGTAGATACTCGTAAATTCAACAATAGAGTTCACCCTCCTCTCTTTATCTCTCTCTATCTCTCTCCATTCAATAGTCTCAAGAGATTTAATTGTTCTAGAGAGTCATCGGGTGGGTGAAGGGTCTCTATACGTGGTTAAAAAGACTCCCTTGAGCCTAATAATGGCGCGGTAAATGAACAAGAGATGGTGATTTTTTTTATATTAATTTCACCTTTTATTATTATTATTATTATTATTATTATTATTATTATTATTATTATTATTATTATTATTATTATTGTTATTATTATTATTATCGTTATTATTATTATCATTATTATTATTATTATTGTAGTAGTAATATTGACAGTTTCTGGATAGTATTAGTTGTAGTGGTAATAGTAGTAGTAGTAGTAGTAGTAGTAATGGCATAAATAGTTGTAGTAATATTGGGAGTGGAAGTAGTATAGTAGTTGTAATGATAATGTTGGTAGTAGTAGTGTCATTAATAGTAGTAATAGTAGTAAAAGTAGATAGTAAATTTTACACTATATACAGACAGCCAGGCAGGCAGGCAGATAGTTTCATTACAACTAACCTACACTTTCACATTGCCTTAGTATGTACTGTACGTAAACAAGACAGACATACACACAACAGAAACAGGTATAGATGTGTTCACCCCTTGAGTACGATGACCTAAAACCCTTGAGTACGATGATTTAACCCTTTGAGTACAATGAAATAACCCTTTGAGTACAGTAGCAACCCTTTGATTATGATAGTTGAACCCCTTGAGTACGATGACTTAAAACCCAAGAGTACGATGATTTAAAACCCTTGAGTACGATGATTTAAAACCTTTGAGTACGATGACAACCCTTTGAGTACGATGACTTCCCTTTGAGGACAATGAAATAACCCTAAGTACAATGAAATAACCCTTTGAATATAGTAGCAACCCTTAGATTAATGATTCAACCCTTGAGAGTACAATGAAATAACCCTTTGAGTACAGTAGCAACCCTTTGATTATGATGGTTGAACCCCTTGAGTACGATGACTTAAAACCCAAGAGTACGATGATTTAAAACCCTTGAGTACGATGATTTAAAACCTTTGAGTACGATGACTTAACCCTTTTGAGTACGATGACTTCCCTTTGAGGACAATGAAATAACCCTTTGAATATAGTAGCAACCCTTAGATTATTATGATTCAACCCCTTGAGTACGAAGACTTAAAACCCTTGAGTACGATGATTTAACCTTTGATGGTACGATGACTTAACCTTTTATATGATGATTTAACCCTTTGAGTGTGATGATTCTTCCTTCTGAGTACGGTGAGTTAACTCCTTGAGTACGAGGACATAATCCTAGAATACAATGACGTAATCCCTCGAGTACGATATCTTACCCCTGTGATAGACGTACGTGATAGAATACAACAGACGTACGTGATAGAATACAACAGACGTAAGTGATAGAATACAACAGGCGTACGTGATAGAATACAACAGACGTACGTGATAGAATACAACAGACGTACGTGATAGAATACAACAGATGTACGTGATAGAATATAACAGACGTACGTGATAGAATACAGCAGACGTACGCGATTGAATACAACAGACGTACCTTGAACCAATACAATAGTTGTACCCTCTCCCCTCCCCTCCTCTCCCTTCCCCCCTTCTCTCCCCTCCCTCCCCTCCCCCTCTCACCCCCTACCCCTTACCCCCCACGTACGTACTGTAGAGGGCCAGCTTGTACGTGGCTCGGTGGGGTGCCGGAACAGTCCCCCTCTTCCTGTATCGATCAGAGGGAGATAAAGGTGCAGTGCCGCTACACCACCTGTGACCGGACAAAATCACGCTGGACAAAACTACCCTTGGACAAAATCTATCCCTGAACAACTACCCATAGACAAAAACTAAGAAACTACTCCCTGGACAAAAAATACCCCTGGGACAATAAAAAAATCCCCATAGATAAAAACTGACTAAATACAACTACCCCTTGGACAAAATGAAACCCAAAAAATATCTCTCTGGACAAAATGCCACCAAATAACACATACACATACATACATACACACACATATACATACATACACACACATACACATACATACACACACATACATACATACACATACATACATATTCCACCTTCATTTGCAAACTAGTTGACACGGGTTCGATCCCCGGGCAGGGTGAAACTGTGGACAAGTTTCTTTGCGCCATTTGCCTCTGTCTACCCAGCAGTAATTGGGGACCTGGATGTTGATCGATTTACGCGCAGATCGTGTTCCAGGGTAATGGTTAGCCAGTGCAGCTAGTGAGTTGTCCGATCTTCTTGGACTATTCCTTAACACTGGGTCATGCAGCTCGTTAACTCAGGGTGTGGTTTTTGTGTTGACGACAGCTTTTACACCTTAAACAAATTAACGCCTAGGTGGTAACAAATATAATATGTATACAGATATGTATATTCCGGTATACACATTGACTTACGTGTATAATTGTACCAGAATATACATAATACACACATTCGAAGATATCATATACATAACCTCACTCTTGAATACATAAACAATACTCATACATCAGTCATACTACAGTAGTTTCATCTCTGTAATACATCTAGAATAAACATGACTAACTGCAACAACCAATTAGAGGCCAGTCAACACACGTCTGTTAATGGCGCGCAGCACTACACCATAATCATGTACTAGACGTGATGTTGCTCCAGTCGAGTCATTACACTGTCTCTTAAGTCTTGGGTAGAGTCTCGGTGCCCTCTAGACGCCATTTTGTCCCGCCTTCAGTTTCATTGGTCCTGGTTTTCAGATTATCTCGAGTCTCAGTGTTGTCTAGACGCCATTTTGTTAGGTCCTCATTTAAGGGATCACCCTAATGCTACCTAGGGGGGGGTAGGTTAGGTTAGGTTAGGTTTGTTTAGCAATAGGTTAGGTTGTTAGGATGACTACTCTTCAGATGGTAGAAGTAGGGGTGGCTATTCTTCAGGTGATGCGAATACTATCATAAATTAGTATACGTCAGGTCTATGTGTACACGAAGTCATGTGATAAACTGACACGTGTGTGATTTAATATTAGTTGATGTGTACAGTATTTGTAATGTCTGTACTTGTTTTTGTAACGTTTATGTAATTTTTTTGTAATTTATGTATTTTTGTAATATTTTCACTTAATTACAAGTTTTATAGTTTTTTGTATTTTTTTAATTTGAGTTTTTTTTGTAATTTCTGGAAGTTTGTGTAGTTTTCTTATTTCTGTATTTGTTTATGTAATTTTGTTTTTAATTTATGTACTTGACTTTTACTTTTTTATTTGGTTTCAATAAATGCCTAAGTCAAAATAGTAGTTGTTCGATAAATGTGTAAATCAAAACTCAAACTATTCAAGAAATGACGTAAATCGAAATTGAATTTACCGTAGTTGTGTAAATCATAAAACACTGATTTACAAGTGTTGGTGGCGAGTTGAGAGAGAGAGAGAGAGAGAGAGATGAAGGAAGTGAGAGAGTGAGAAAGAGAAGGAAAGTGAACTG